TATTTTTTTTAAGGGGGAAAAATCATCGGATGACTGCTCCCGCCTGGGTGAGGCGGGAGGGAGTGTCAGACTCTTACTAACTAAAAACCACCCCGTTCCTTCTCCTGCACGTCGAGCCGGAGCCCCGGTAACCCGTTAGGTTCTCCGCGACTATAAACTAATTATGGATTCACGTCATAGATAAGTCACAAACAAAATTAACAATCATAGCTATATAGTACTAGCTACTTCCGCGCGGGTTCACCCGCTCTGCTCGGCTCCTATTGATCGTAGCGTAATGTTTTATAGGCTATAGCTTTCCTCAATTAATGGACTATTCAACACAAGAAGAATTTTTCAAATCGGACCTGTAGTTGCTGAGGTAAGCGTGTTCTAACAAACAAACAAACATCATCATCATCATCATCATCATCATTATCAACATCAACTATAAATGCCCACTGCTGAGCAAAGCCTCTTCTCACACGGAGAAGTTTGTAATAAAAAAAATTGTATAAGAGTATAACTCCACGGTTATCGCAGTGGCTGGGCAACTGACTGCCGTGCAACGTACCAGTCCGTGTCATGAACTGACACGGACTTGGAGGACTCCAAGTCAATATTAATTCTAGGTGTCACAGCGTCAAACTCTTTTTTGCCAAGCTATACCTAAATGTCAAGAATACATACATTATAATAAGCGGTAATCACTGGATCGATGTCATCATACTCATCATGAGGCGCCAGCATTGTAGCGCTGTCGGTAAAAATCTCCTTAGTCGTTTCCTCAGCATCACATAGACCGAATCTCTGGATGTTCGATGTAGCTGTGTCGAACAGAAGGCTTTTTACAATTTTAGTTTCGTCAAAAACCCTATTTTCTACCGTAGCCTTTGGATTTTCGGAAAATCGTCTTAGTCTACTGCACTCCTCAAGAAACCCACATGATAAATTTAAAATGAAAGGTTCCTCCTCCGCATCATCGTGACGTGATGTTTTATAACCTCTAATATTCTTCATTAAATGGACTATCCAACACAAAAAAAAATTCTAATCGATCGAGTACATCCTTAGATTAGCACAAACTCTTCAGCTGTATACTAGCTTCTACCAGCGGCTTCGCCTGTGTTTTCATGGCATAAAAGTGGCCTATGCGTTATACCAGACCAGATAATCTACCCTTGTTTCAAATTTCACCGCTATCCCTTCAGCCATTTTGCCGTGAAAGAGTAACAAACACACACACAAACACACACACACACATATATCTTTACAAATTTTTGCATCTATATTATTAGTAGGATAAATAATAGATCATGAAAGTACTTACATCTCCGCAATACCACGTAATTGTTGGCAATCCTTGAGATAGTCGGCTGACCTATCTTGGAGACAATGCGTTTCACCCACAAATGGTACATGCCGTAGTCCAGAAATCTTGATGGAGACTCACAGCCAGGGCCGTAGACACCAATACCCAGCTGTGTAGAAGGAACGATGATGAAATAACAGACCCAAGACAAAGATGCAATGTTTTTATAGACCGGGAGTGTGTGATATCTAATCTAGATGGTGTAAACGGTCAAGAAGGATTTTCGGTTCAAAATTATAATAAGTTCCAATCACGGGGATGATGACAGGGTATGAAAATTAAAAATATAATTATATCATTTACATAAGAAAATAAAAAATACGTGTCTAATGTTTTTAAATAATCTACCAGATGGACATTAAAATAAAAATTAGTCGTCTACCCTAGGCGCTTATTGGTAAGAAATAAACAATACTAGCTTCTGTTAGCGGTTTCACCCAGATAGGTTCCCGTGAGATAAAAATGGCCTGAGTGTTATGTGTCCGGCGGGGTTATTATAACGTCCTAATGTCAGAATGGTTCCATTGAGGGAAAGAAACACAGCTATACAAATCGTCTAGCGAGATCTCGATCCCTCAACGGAACTACTCGAGCTTTAAGACGTCATAATACGCCACTAGACCTACCTGTTCCAAATTTCGTCTCGATCTCTTCAGCCGTATTAATGTGAAGAAGAGACAAACGAACAAAGAAACATCAAACTAACTTTCGAATAAGTAGGATTTCAAGCAAACCAACGAAGCTAATAAGCGATCTCAATCTTAAAGTCTTTGGATTAAGGTCTATTATTGAAGTTGGTTCTTTGGACTGCCTCGTTGGCCGCGTGATCGCAAGTGCGACTACCGGGCAAGAGGTCTCGAGTTCGATTCCCGGATCGGGCAAAGTATTACAGGTTTTTTTTCAAAAAATCTCAGTAGTAACACAGAGTCTGGAAATGTGCCTGGTATATGGCAATTGGCTCATCACTACATGGGACTCGTAACATAAATAGTGAAAAGTGGGAGTTACATTGTACTGCGGCATTAAGTGCCGCAATGTGCAACTCTGCCTACCCCTTCGGGGATAAAAGGCATGATGATGTTATGTTATGTTCTTTGGAGTTTTGGTAAAAAATCTGAACCGATCAAGAGATTTTCGGTTATTGATATTTTTTTAAACGTTGCCCCACACTAGGATTGTCTCCTGTGCCGTTGGTGCGTTTACAAACATGCAAGTTCACATACAGATCACACAAGGAGTAGTTCCGTGCGGGAATCGAACTCGCAACACGTTGTGGGGCAGTCAGTTACCTAGCAACTGCGCCAACCGTGCAGTCGATTTAGTAATACCCTCTAAGAGTGAACATACTGTGGACTCACCAGCTTCCATTGTCCCTCATGTCGGATGACCAGCGTTGTGCCACTGCGCCAAATACAATGTCCGCCTATCTGACCTTGAGCACACGCCAGATGAGTCGGCCACATACTCTGGACATCCAGCTGTAGTCACAACCATACAGAGCATATCAATAGCTACCCCCTCTTTATTAAATTATTTCACTCTTAACTCGTCGAGTACCGGTTTTGTAGACACAATTATAGAACAAAAGGTTGCGGTCACCGGTGACCGCTTGGTGTTTGACAGTTTAAAAAACAAGCGACATGTACAGATGTGTTGTTTTATTAGTAGGTACTGATGGATACATGTTCATGTCCCCATTCTGCCGCGAAATGGGACCAGTTCAGCATGTGCAAGACAGGGCCTTGCGCTGGTATTCTACTGGCCCCTTAAGTGTCTCGACGAACAAGCCACCAATTAGACATCAATAATTTAAACCATAACGGTAGCATTTAATACATTGTCATAATAATAAGCAAGTATAAGTTTCAACGCCTATTTAACATTTAAATATAAAGTACATTTAATTGTAATGTCTAGTGACTCGACCCCACAGTCAAACCATTGCAACGATTTTGTGGGGCTTAGGTTATAAAATACTTACCTTTGTGATATAAAGATAAATAAAAAAGAATCGTGCCCGTATTGCCGCGACTTGTCTGATTGTTATTTTTTTGTTTAAAAATGTTGTTTAACTAAATATTGGTGATACAACTGTAATAGTCACATATTTTATCGTTCACTATATTTATACTTGTAACTAATAATATTATTTAAGTAAGTATTTCAAATACTAAACTGCCAAATAATTAGTAATATATTGTGGATTGATTTAGTTTTCGAACGTGGCAACACTATCTCAGTCGGGCATTCGCGCGGTTTTTGTTTTTGACAGCGACAAATAAATTTTTGACAAATAACTATGAGTTTTAATAAAGATCCTTATTCTTCTGAGCCTTTTTAGTAAATGCATGCAGCTTTCTAATGGTGAAAGTCCGACCAGTAGTCTTTACGTGAAAACATGCACAAATGTTTTGGAGGTGTTCATGAGCAGTTTCGGTTGCTTCATCATCAACAGCCTATAAATGCCCACTGCTGATCAAAGCCTCTTCTCACACGGAGAAGGTTTGAGCATTAATCACCACGCGTACTCAATGCGGGTTGGCGATTACAAACTTATAATTAGAAATTATAAGCCCATGTTTCCTCATGATGTTATCCTTCACCATTTGTCAGTGGTGTCTAGATAATCTTAGAAAGTACTCGGTCGGTAGCTTACCATTAGATAATCCGTCTGCTCGTTTGCCTCGCTATACCACAATGTAAAAATACTTAAAAATATATTAATTTTAATGAGCTTCTATTCAACCAAGCATAATATAATGTATGGGAGAGCCATGCTTCGACACGAATGGGTCGGCTCGACCGGAGTGATACCACGGCCGAGCAGAAAACTGACGTGAAACAACGCTTGCGTTGTGTTTCGTTGTATGACTGAGGTTACCGGAGGCCCAATTACCCTCCCCTTCTCCAATCTCCCCAATTCCTGAATCCAACGATCCTCATACTCCAAATCCCCAAAAGGCCGGTAACGTATGTACTTGTAACGCCTCTGGTGTTCCAGGTGTCCATGGGCGACGCCGATTGCTTACCATCAGGTGATCCATCTGCTCGTTTACCGGCTTATGCCATAAAAAGAAAACTAACGGGGCAAGCTAAATAATTGCCCTTCAACTGTTTCGATGTGATTGAAGAACTACCTCTAATATACACTAGTTTCAATTTAAGGCAATATCTATGTAAAAGTTCAATGAACAAATGACAATGACCAAATTTGTATGGAGCGTGGTGCCTTTTAATTTTTTCGCGGCAGTTGATCGGATGTGGAAAAACTGATGCAGAATAACATTACAAACAAAAAAATATATGGGGTCTTATATCAAAAACACAGTCCAAACCGAGTTAAATCAGTTCAAAGATGTGAATAGTGCTATATTATTCCCGTGATTTTGTTGATGGTGACCGTACACAACGCATATTTCTTCATTTATTTGTCAGAAATATTTTGTAATAAATGTTTATAAACGATTTCAAGAAATATAATAAAGCTTATTGTGGACGTTTTTACTTTTTTTTGTTTTTTTTTTTCTTATTATAAAGCCACGGAATCAGAACAGAGTGAACCATTAACTCGTAGAGTACCGGTTTTGTAGACACAATTATAGAACAATAGGTTGCGGTCACCGGTGACCGCTTGGTGTTTGACAGTTTAACTGACCACTGCTGAAGTTAAAAAAAAACATTTCGTTTGATTGGCTAGCGTGTTCACTTTATATGTATACGGTTTATGGCCTATGACAGATTTTCATGATCAATTTCCTCTCAGTCGAAAACCCGCAGAATACTTCACTGAGCCCTATCATGAAATGCTATGTTTGTCAGCTGCGGCGTCGATAGCGGATTGAGTAGCAGCAGTTGTCAAACCACGAAAAAAATATTTTTCTGTCTATTTCTCCCGACTTACTTTCGATTAGTAACTAATTTAACTACAGTTAATACTTTAATCTACATCTAGCATAATATTCTGTACAAAGACATCGTCATTCAGTCACAAAGTGATGGATTTCGACTGATCACATTATATGAACAAATTATGCGCTCATCTGACATATAGTCCATCACATAACAAAGGCGACGGT